TTCCATGCCCAGCATAGACGCAGCTAAAAATCCAAGTGCTTCCCTGCGGTTTTTTGGTCGGAGTCTAGATAGCATATGGTGGTTTATACCTTGATTACAACTTTATGAACTTGCGGTAGAGTTCTTCTATAGAGTTGTAAGAGCCCCCTGTCAGGTCGTCTAGCCCTTTACGATGACACAGACTTTGCTTCACGTAGCACACATGGCCTTTTGCACGAACGTCTAAGTCAGCAGGCGCCCGGGCTTACCCAGTAGCTTAACCCTGGAGTGCGCATCTGTTGCTGTGCTGTGCTGTGTTGAACTCAATCAGCGGTCGTCTCTGTGTTTTGACGCCCCTGCCGTCTACTCCGGCCCTATTGTGTGTTCGCGCAGTAAAGGTCAACTTCTGACTTAAAGACGTGCAATTTTTGTGGATCGTGGAGTGACAAACGAGCTCTAGGTAGCGTTTGCGAGGAATTAATTGTACAAGTCAGCTCAAATTTTGTGTGTACAGTTGACTGCGTCGCACCGATGTTTTCCAAGCAGTGGCTGATGCCAGCCTTATTTATTCTCATCCTGTAGCACCGTCCGCCACCGGCGCCAAGCCCGCAAACCGTCACATGATTGCACTCTTCTATCTGCCTCTGAGACAGCCAATCACAGGTGCCACAGACTGATATTGGCTTAGTTGATTAATCGGCCAGTGACTCATACTCGCATGACGTTTGTGCATTCACGCCCACGCCACACCACGCTAGCAGACAGACGCGCGTGCAGGGCTCGGGCTTGCTGTGAGTCGGGACTCAAGACCACTACTAAGATTCCCTGGACAATAAACAACTCCTACTGGTCTTACCCCTTCTTTTCCTATACGGAACTAGGCCTGATAATTGTAGTGCTCTGCGCATACCCATGGATTAGACCCTTACAATTTTGCGTTTACCAAGCTGTAGCTGATGCCAGCTTTATTTATTCTTACCCTGGACGGTGGAGATCAAGTTTTACTTTGGTGTGCACGGTGTCTAAGTTCTGTAGTTTTACACGAACCCTCTCCACATCTTTTTCGTTGTACCTTCGAGAAGCCTTCATTGTGACGCCAGCAGGATTCCGGCGCAGCGACTTCTACCCGTGAGTCTGAGCTGCCTTCCTGTTCATGCATTCCACGAGGACTTGGACAGCATGTTCGTCCACTCAAGCTTTATTTAGGGTCGGAGGTACCCATGGATTACTACCCATCTATTTTAGTGTGTTTGGCTCCGCAACCATTTCCAGAACAGGATTCGGAAAGCCGGTATTCTTGAAGAATTCGCATTGGGGCCAGGTTGCCTCTGATGTGCATCGGTTAAATACGCCGAAGATTGCGTAGGGACGATTGGGAATTACCGAACCGGAGCTAAGGCGGACTCAAATCAGTCTAGGGGACGCTATAAACCGGCGAATTTACTTTCAACTTCAGTGTTAAGTCGCCGAGTCAGAACTGTGAGATCAAAATTGGTACGTGTTACACGGAAGTTCTTTTCACCAACGAGCAAGAGACAAAAGTCCAGATCGGTTAAATCTGCGAGAGGCCTGTCTCATTGGAGTGCCTCCCAGCGTACCCCATGTTTTTATCGATAAAAACGTACTTTTTTCCCATGTGAAAATTCCACGAAGAAATTAAAACTATGGCGGAAACCATCGCATGTACATGGTGTCTCGGCGGCCGTGGCTAGATTTCTCATGTCACACGTAAGGGAGAGCGTCCAGAATCCTCAAAATTCAGTCGGAAATTGGGCGTGACTGGAGTATTACATCCCTAATTAGAAGTCAACCGATTAATACCGAATGCATGCGGTTGCGGGGACTACAACCACATCAGAGAAAATGTTAGGAGTCGTCCTAACAGATTTGCACGCACGCAGCCCGGGCGAGACACTCACGCCACGCTATCGGCCCGCCCGTACAAAAAAACCGCGCGGCCTTCAAGAAGCCTAAGTCACGCGAGGCTTCCGGAATAGGGATCAACCAATCAGATGTCCAATCGAGTCGCTGCTCTCTCGAGGACATCATCTGATTGGTCCGATCTTAAAACTTTGCTTGCTTAAATACCCACACTAGGGGCACAATAAAGACTTCTTTTTGCTGCTACCTGGCTCTCCTTCTTCGCCTTGAGGGTTTAAACAAATCATCTGGGGCGGCACAAATCCTGGCTTTTTGCAAAATTACAAAATAAACATCCCACGGCAGGCAGACGGAACACATTTATTGGACTTGGTTTAGATCCTCAACAGAGATTACGATCACACTTCAAAGCAGTTTCACGCAGCCTGGATGTTCCTCGACCGCTCCGTCAGCCGCCATCTAAACTTACCCGTCTCCACCTGGACTACCGAACCTACTCGCAGCGAGGCACGTAAGGCGTGATACCGTCGGTGTTTCCACTACCGACGAGGACGGGGGCGGAGCGGAGTATAGCGGAACCGGGAGTCCGTTTGGTGCACACAGCGGACCTTTGCGATGCAGGCCCCAGGCGCAAGGAGCTACGCGTCTTATAATTCAAGCTGTACACGGGATTCTTCAGTCTCTAGAGACGACTAGCTGAAATCTATGTCTTAAAGCCAGAACACCAATAAAGCCCTCCAAGTGAACGACCCTCCATTTTTTGTTTGAACTCAGTTATCAAAATTGCTTCGATGGAATCACCCTCTTGTTGTTTACATCCACCAAATTGACAGTATGTAAGGTGCTTGGTACACCGAGCCATGACTTCAACAGGTATTAACCAACGGCCCAGATAGTGTCTCCGAAATCTTAATCCCCGCGACAGAGATCATTCGAGAGGAAAAAAACTAAAAATACGTGAGATCATGAAGATATATTTGTTGTCATTCAGCTTCGACAAACACAGCCCTGCATAAAACGGAGAAAGAAGGGGCGCAGAGAGGAGACGAAGTAAGAGCGTGTCCCATGACGGCGTTTCGCCCCCTCGAGGTGACTTTTCACTTGACCTTCTTTGCTTCGCTCTAAAAAAAAGCCGAATTAGTCCAAATTACCCAAGACTTACCGTCTTCTCTATATCTGGTACCTTTTCTGGAGGAACAGCGGTATCTTCAGTTGGCGTATCCTACAAGGACGAACAAGGATATGGATAACAGACGGTTGACCCCAGTCGTTTCACAGAGGTCCCGACAGCCGTAACAGCTGGAAGCGGACAGGTAGTATTGCCGGCAAAGACAAAGGAAACGAGAATGGCCATTTCTGGCTCATAAGCCTTCCTCAGCCAGCCATAACCAGAC